CACAACTCAAGTATTGTGGACAAGCGATTACTGATGAAGATATGTTGGAGAAATTACTCAACATTCATGCAACAAATTATACTTTGATGCAACAATATCGGATGCAAAAGTTCACAGATATTTGAACTGAATGCATGTCTGCTCGTTGCAGAGCAAACAATGAACTCTTAATGAAAAACCATGAATCTCGTCCAACGGGATCAGTAGCACTTCCTGAAGCAAATGCTACAAATATTGATGGTCATCGAAACAATACACGTGGACGAGGGCGAGGTCGTGGTCGAGGGCGAGGCCGTGGCTATTTTAATCGAAACCAAAGCCATAATCAGAACCATAATTCTGGTCGTGGACAAGGTAATAATCGTGGTCGTGGCCAGAAAAGAAATAATTACCAATATTCACAAAGAAACAATGTCCACACACAAAATAAGGCCAAAGTGGCAAGGCATGACACTGGGACATCACAAAAATCTGATGGTCCATGTTATAGATGTGGTAGCACAGGCCATTGGTCAAGGACCTATCGTACACCTGCACATCTTTGTCAACTTTATCAAGAGTCCATTAAAGGAAAAGGAAAAGAAGCAAACCTCATTGATAATGTTGAATTCACTCTGCTAAATGTTGCTGATTTCTGTAATGACATGGAAGACATAAACTAAAAAAAATCTATTATTGTTCTAGTAAAACTGTTTTCCTTCGTTTGTTTTTCATGTAATGTCTTTCCTACAATAAATGAGCTTTCTTTTTAATAATAATTATGATTATGTTTATTCACTTATTATTCCTTTTTATATGTGAAGTTTAATATGAGTCCAACTGGAGCACAGCACCACGAAAAGATTGGAGATCTTTGTATAGCAGATAGTGGTAGTACACATACTATTCTGAAATCAAAGAAATATTTTTCAGAATTAGTACCAACAAAAACAGTCATACATACAATATCAGGTCCTGCAGACTTGATAGAGGGAACCAGGAAAGCCCATTTTATATTACCAAATGGTACAAGCTTTTGTATAGAAAATGATTTATTTTCTCCAAAGTCTCTTAGAAACTTATTAAGTTTCAATGACATATATTTCAAAGGATATGACACAAAAACTGTGACCATTGAAAATAAGAAATATATGTATATTATAGACACAAACCATGTGCTTGAAAAACTACCAACACTTGATTCTGGTCTGCATTATACATATATACATATGATTGAATCAAATATGGTAGTAGAAGGAAAACATTGCGATCCTGGGACATTCAGTTTATGGCATGATAGGTTGGGTCACCCAGGATTAACAATGATGCGAAGGATAATTGAGAATACACACGGGCATCCATTGAAGGACCAAAAGTTTCCTCAATCCAATAGCATAAAACCATGTGCATCTTGTTCCCTTGGAAAGTTAATTATAAAACATTCTCCAATGAAAGTTGAAAGGGAGTCACCTAGATTTCTAGAAAGAATTCAAGGTGATATATGTGGACCGATTCACCCACCATCTGGACCATTTAGATACTTTATGGTCTTAATAGATGCATCCAGCAAATGGTCTCATGTCTGCCTATTATCAACTCGTAATATGGCATTTGCAAAAAGTTTCTTGCCCAAATTATTAAATTAAGGGCACATTTCCCTGATTATACTATCAAAAGAGTGAGACTTGATAATGCTGGTGAATTTACTTCACAAGCATTTAATGACTATTGTATGTCTGTTGGAATTGTTGTTGAGCATCCAGTTGCTCATGTACACACACAAAATGGTTTAGCTGAATCACTGATTAAACGTCTCCAGCTAATAGCTAGACCATTGATAATGAGGACCAAACTTCCTGTTTCTGTTTAGGGCCATGCAATCTTACATGCTGGATCATTGATACGCATGAGACCAAGTTCATATCATGTATATTCTCCACTACAACTTGCTTTCGGTCAAGAGCCAAATATATCCCATTTGAGCATTTTTGGGTGTGCAGTATATGTCCCTATTGCACCACCTCAACGGACAAAAATGGGTCCTCAAAGAAGGTTGGGAATTATATGGTGGTTATGAGTTAGTCTCTATTCTTAGATATCTTGAACCATTAACAGGTGATGTTTTCACAGCACGCCTAGCAGATTGTCAATTTGATGAGGCAAATTTCCCATCATTAGGTGGAGAAAAGAAGATTCTGGAAAAGGATGTGTCATGGCATGAGCCTACTTTATCATATCTTAACCCTCGCACAAAGCAATGTGACATGGAAGTTCAAAAGATAATGCATTTCCAAGAAATGGCAAATCAATTACCTGATGCATTTACTGACACAAAAAGGGTGACTAAATCATATATACCAGTTGTCAATGTTCCAGCTCGAATTGACATTCCACATGGACAATCTGATGATAAAGTCACTCAAGAGTCTAAAACACGCCTGAAGCGTGGAAGGCCATTTGGTTCTAAGGATAAGAACCCACGAAAAAGAAGAGGAGCAGAAAATGCACTAGATCACGATGAAAGTGTTCCTGGAGAAACACGAATTATTCAAATTCCCCAGGAAAGGAGGATGATGCATTAAATTATGGTCAGCCAAATAGAATATGTGACCAAAATGAAACTGACAATATAGGTGCAATATTTTCTTATTCAGTTGCATGTGATATTATGAATGATGATCCCGAACCACAATCAGTCATTGAATGTCAAAGAAGAAATGATTGGGCTAAATGGAAGGAAGCTATGCAAGTTGAATTAAATTCTCTTAACAAGAGAAAGGTTTTTGGGAACATTATCCTCACACCTGAAGTTGTGAAACCATTAGGATATAGATGGATCTCCGTACGAAAAAGAAATGAGAAAGACGAAATTGTAAGATACAAGGCCAGGCTTGTTGCTCAAGGTTTCTCTCAAAGACCTGGAATTGATTATGAAGAAACTTATTCACCGGTAATGGATGCAACCACTTTCAGATATTTAATCAGCTTGGCAGTATCTAAAAATTTAGAGATGTGTCTTATGGATGTTGTTACAGCTTACTTGTATGGATCACTTGATAGTGATATTTATATGAAAATCCCTGAAGGATTTAAAATGCCTGAAGCGTTAAGTGCAAAACCCAAAGAAATGTATTCTATAAAATTACAAAGATCTTTGTATGGGTTAAAGCAATCTGGGCGCATGTGGTACAATCGTTTAAGCGATTATTTGACAAGTAAATGTTATAAAAATAACACTATTTGTCCATGTGTATTTATTAAGAAAACAACATATGGATATGTGATCATAGCAGTCTACGTTGATGATCTAAACATCATTGGAAAGAATAAAGAAATCCTTCAAGTGATTGAACTTTTAAAGAAAGAATTTGAAATGAAAGATCTTGGAAAAACCAAATATTGTCTTGGTTTACAGATTGAGCATATGCCTAACGGAATACTTGTGCATCAATCAAATTACACAGAAAGAGTCTTGAAACGTTTCAATATGGAAAATGCAAATCCTTTAAGCACTCCAATGGTTGTTAGATCATTAAATATTGACAAGGATCCATTTCGTCCATGCGAAGAAAATGAAGAAGTCATTGGTTCAGAAGTACCATATCTAAATGCAATTGGAGCTCTTATGTATCTTACCAATTGTACTAGACCTGACATTTTTTTCGTTGTAAACTTGCTAGCAAGATTTAGTTCAGCCCCAACAAAAAGACATTGGAATGGAATCAAACATATTTTTCGATACCTTCGAGGAACTAGTGATTTAGGGTTATTTTACCCTAACAATTCAAAACAAGGCTTGATTGGTTATGCAGATGCAGGTTATTTGTCTGATCCTCATAAAGCTAGATCTCAAACTGGATACGTATTCATGAATGGAGGTACTACAATTTCCTGGCGTTCTCAAAAGCAAACACTTGTTGCGACATCCTCGAATCATGTTGAAGTAATTGCACTAAATGAAGCTAGTAGAGAATGTACATGGTTAAGATCGATGACACAACTAGTTTTAACTTCATGTGGACTTGAAAAGGATATATGTCCAACTTTAATTTATGAAGATAACTCAGCATGTGTCACTCAAATGAAAGAGGGATATATCAAGAGCGACAGGACAAAACATATACCTCCAAAGTTTTTTGAGTACACTCAAGAGCTTATAAAGAACCATCAAGTTGAAATCAAATATGTTCAATCCAGTAATAATACAGCAGACCTTTTTACGAAGGCACTTCCTACTGCAATCTTCAGGAAACATGTCCATGGCATCGGAATGCGACATGTGCATAAAATATAATGTGACAAATGTCTAAATAAGGGGGAGTCAACTATACACTGCACTCTTTTTCCCTTTGCTAAAGTTTTTTCACACTGGGTTTTCTTTAGCAATGTTTTTAATGAGGCAGTACGTCAAAGTTGAACGCTAAAATGATGTCATCCAAGGGGGAGTGTTGTAAATAATTGGTGGATGACATAATAATTGGTGCATGGTACATTTGTCAACATTTCTAACTAGTTACAATTATATATTAGTAAAATTTGTAGTATAAATACCCTTCCATTGTAAAGAATGTGATACACCAAAAGTTATAAGAGATATAACTTTCATATTCTCTCTAAATATTCTTTCTTCTCAATTAAAGTTCTTATCAAAGTTTACTAGTTTGGTTTGATTTATAGTTACATTAATTACGATTAATTCATAAGAATATATATATATATATATATATATTATAATATATATATATATATATATATATATATATATATATATATATATTCTGTAAAGCATTGTCTCCAACCATATGCTCCTGCAATGTGCCATGCACGTGATTCTCTGTACTATGTAGTTTTCTTAGTTTTTTTATTTCGTACATGTTTTCAAAAAAATATTATTATATTCTTTTACATTATTTTTTCATTACCTTCAATAAAATAACATAATAAATAATTTATTAAATTAAACGTGTCTTTATTTATATTCTATGCTTTTTGTCTTTGTCTATCTTTTTCTATCATATCAATGATAATAGAGTTTAGTATCCCTCATATCACTAGAACATGAAACAACACAACCAAAATCTACATTCATTCTCGATAATCTCCCATATATTGATATGACGACTACCCCCATCAAACTCGTCCTTTTCTTCTTCACGGTAGTCGTCGTGTTCTTATCCTCTCATGGGGCTAAAGAAATCTTGCTGAAAAACGAAGTTATCCGGGATGCAAATCACGAAACACTCGTTTCCCCCGGAAAAATCTTTCAAATGGGTTTCTTTGAGCTACAACCAAACCATAGGTATGTTGGGATATGGTATTACTTAGATCCCAAAACAATTGTATGGGTCGCCAACCGTGACTCCCCGATTTCATCATCTTCCTCCATAATTACTATCCAAGACGATGGTAATTTTGTGGTGAAAGACAGTTCTATGAACTATTTCACCACAAACTTACATTCAGGTTCAGGATCCGATCGCCGGACCCTAAAGCTATCAGATACGGGGAACGCGATACTGACAGATGAATCTGGAAAACATTTTTGGTCCAGTTTCGCGTTCCCAACCGATACTTTCCTTCCAGGAATGTATATGGAGAAAACCATGAAAATTGTATCATGGAAAACTCCAAATGATCCGGGAACCGGAAGTTTCGTGTTCCAAAAAGATCAAGTCTTCGGCTACAACAATTACACGGTTTTCACCGGAAAAAGCCTTCATTGGAAAAGCGGATTCGGTCTAGAACCCAACAAAAACCTCACCAAGATAGCAATGGCTGCACTTGAACTGTTGTCAAACTCCACTCAAAAGTCAACTTACTCAAGGCTTTTAATGAATTCTTCCGGTGAAGTCCAATTCTATAGTTGGGATTCAAGATTCAGCAAATGGGTATTAAATTGGTCGGAACCTAGGGATTATTGTAGTAGATTCAACGTTTGTGGGCCAAACAGAAGCTGTAACGTCACTACAACGATGGAAAACGATTCGATCTGTAACTGTTTACCTGGTTTTGAGCTTATGGATGATGTAGCTTCATCGCAACAAATCTGCAAAAGGACTTCGACTATATGTAGTGGGAACGACACTAGTTTCTTGGGCATGGAGATCATGAAGATCGATGTAACATTTGCTACGTTTTTGGAGTCTAGAAGTGCGTCGGAATGTAAAGAAAAGTGTTTGGGTTTGGATTGTTGTCAAGCTTATTCGTATAATGATGTTGGGAATCCAGAATTGGTTCGAGTTGGAGTTCCTGGAGGTAAACAAGGGTGCTGGATATGGAGTTCTGGATCGTATCTTGTTGATGTTCAGGTTGGTGATGGAGTTACTGGAGTTGAAGTTTTTATCAGAAACCCTATTTCGAAAGGTAAGTACTTAAGTACTTTCATATTATCATCTTGTGTTTCTTTCATGCTTTTATTTTTTATTTATGTCATGCCTTTAATCTTACTGCTAATTCTGACTTAGACTTACATGTACACTTTGATACTATCAAAGCTACTTGTATGTTAATTAAATGGTGAAATGCTCTGATATAATAAGTGAAAGTAAATATAACTATTAAAAATAAATACATATATTATTACAATAAGAATAATTTTTTTTATAAGATGATTGATAGATTAGGTATTTTGATATATTTTGTTAACTTTGGAAACGCTGGATTCATTGGGCACTTTTTTTAATTTATCTGTTTGTGGTTGTACTCATTTGACCTATTAAATATAAACTACTTATTGTTATTAAATTATAGATAAATGCATCAAAACTTGCAACCAAAGATAAAATTATTCGAACAATCTGTCACTAAATTGTATGCATTTGACCTATTAGATGTAAACTATAACCTTTTCACATTTTTTATTTTTTTTTTGAAAAAGCTATAACCTTTTTTATTATAGTTGTTATTTATCAAATTAAATAAGAAGGTTGTACCCAAATAAAAAATAATTTATTAATTTATTAGAGTTGTTTTATTTTTAATTTCAAATTCCTGATCAAACACAATAGTCACTCTTACCTCTCAGTCTTGGCATACCTCTCTTTTAATCTTGTTATATATTTTTGAAATGTTTTAACTAAAATCGAATTATAAACGGGATTTTCATCCTCCTATATTTTTTTTCTATATATCCTTCTATACATTTTAAATTATAAAAACTGATTTGGTTAATAAAATTAAGAATTCACTTAATCTAGTTGAACTAGTTTATTTAAACGAGCACTTCCTAATTTTAGGCATAAATAATACACTACACTTAATTTTTGTTTTTGTTTATGACACTCACTACAAGAAATCGGCCCTATAGCGGCGACATTTAATCAACGCCATTAAATGTCATCAATATTACCTTTGTCGCCGCTATAATCATTCGCAGAGCTTTATTAGGTCAAGGGAGGGTTGTGGCCCTCCTGATTTTTTTGTTAGAAACGTCCTTATAATTTTATTTTATACATTTTAGATTCAAAAATATAAAATTTTGGTTGTAGCCCTTCCTGTTTACTAATTTTTATATATATTATATTTTCGGCCCACGAATCAAAGCTCTGCCCCTGGCTATAAATAGTGTTTTCATTTAAGACATGGCGCCTTATTATTGTCATATTTCAAAAACAAGAAATGATTCACTAAAGTTTATTTCTTTTTGTAAGGGACCACCCTTTAACTATAGTAATTTCGTCATAAGTTGAAAAAAGATGAGAGTACACTATTCTCCTTTGGCACCTACACCTACACCTACTCGACTCGTCCTTCTTAACATTGAATCTTAAATTCATATATAATAATTAGATTTACAAACATATTAGATGTTCCCAATATTTGTTGCCTAACATATGCTCACACAATGCTCTTTAAATATGTTCTTCATTTTCTATATTTTATTTTTTTATCACCTTGTCATTCAAAAAACAATAATAATAATAAGTCTCAAGATAAAGTGTAGACTGTAGAAATGATATGCATATACCATGCAAGCTCTTTACATGAACTGAATTGGATCATATACAATATGTTTCAGCGATTAAAAAACCCCCTACGACTCAAGTACCTAATCAAAGTGTAAAAAGGTCAAAGTCAACATCTTCCGCATTCATTATCCTTTCTGCAACTGCCATTCCTGGAATTCTACTTTTTTGCTGCATAGCGTTTATTTGTTATAGGAGAAGGATCAATATCAGGAAAGCACAAGGTACCTAAACATTAATCCTAAATTTAAATCACTGTTTTTATCTAAGCATGTATAGTATTTGATATCTATATAACAAATGAAACTTATTATTGTCAAAACGATGTTTGAATTATCCTAAAGGCCTAAATGCATTTCATTTGTATTTGACTCTCACATTACTCATAAAATATCAGCAAGTGTACAATTATTATTTTTGACATGGTAATAATCACCAAAATAAAGATGGATAGTAAAAGAAAAATTATGAGCACCTTTTCATATATGACAAAATAACTACCAATTTGGCCATATAACTTTTAGGAATTGCGAAATTGGTTTATGAATTATCCTTATCACAGAAAGTTTTTTTTTTCCTTTTATGCAAAATAACATTATTTCGCAAAATATGATCTCATTTTGCAAAATTTTATCAAATTCTATCATGGGGATAATTCATTTGAAGTTCACAAAATTCATCTTGAAAAATGGATGGTTATTTTGTGTTGTATGTGAAAAAAAAATGGTTTTTTGTTATTCTACACCTTCAATTTTGGTCATTTTCGTGGTAATGCCATGTAATTTAAATCGCTATGTGGATTAAGATTCAGGAATATGGTCAAATTCAAGGCATGGGAATCTTACAATTTTTCTTGACAAAATTCAGAAAGAATAAAAAAAAGTTGGTTAGATTTTCAAAATCAAAAGTGATCCCAAGGGTGTGGTTTAAAGTAAAAGAAGATATAACATCTAAGCCCATATATGTTTATCTTTATGTTTTTCTTTTAGGAAAGGAAGAAAGCGAATCTGTCCATCAATTTAATGAAAGTGTGAGGCAAGTTCAGGATATGCTAGATCCATTCAATGAAAGTGATTCGCCAACCATTGGTATACCTTTCTTTGACTTTGAAAAAATATCGTCTTCCACAGATGGCTTCTCAGAAGCAAATATGCTTGGGGAAGGTGGTTTTGGACCCGTTTACAAGGTGAGAGTTCATATTCCCTTTAAAAAAACATCAAAACATGTATCTTTAATTCCATTATTTCATTTATTATAATTCAAATTCCATACATTGACTACAAACGGTTTCTAAACACTCCACATAACTAAGTTACATTTAAAAAAAAAAAAAAAATCATGTATGTACGTGGATATATTTCCCTTGTCTCATTTATGAACAAATGAGAGAAGGGAAACGGGGTGTCAAGAGGTCCAACTTAAAATGGATATAAATTTTGATATGTTAGGAGTTACGAGACTTATTTTATAAAACTGACTGAACGTATATTTTATAAGAAATCTTGTACTATTTTTTTTATTGAAAATCCCTCTTTTTGAAAGTTTAGCATTTCTGTGTTGTTTACTTCCATCGTGCAACATTTATGTTAGGAAAAGTTACCTAAAGAAAACAAAATTTACAATAGGAAAACATGTTACGATCGCCTAAATGGTGCTTTATATTATCTAATTCTTCTTATTTATAAATTATTATCAAGTTACTAGTGGTCATTTTAACTATGTACAATTATTCTCAATTCATATGTTTTTCGCTTTACCAAATGATCATCATGACAACGTATGTTAGGGTAAGTTCCCTGGGGGACTAGAAGTTGCGGTGAAGAGGCTATCAATCCATTCAGGACAAGGTTTAGAAGAGTTCAAGAATGAGGTTACATTGATTGCAAAACTTCAACATCGAAATCTTGTTAGACTATTGGGATATTGCATGAAGGGAAATGAGAAGATGCTCATATATGAGTATATGCCTAACAAAAGCTTAGATGCATTCATATTTGGTAATCCTCTTCTGCCTTCTCACGATGATCAAAATGATGATTGTTTTTTATTAAGAAATTCCTAACAAAAGCTTATTATAGTATTCTAACTTCAAGAAAAATTTTAAAGAGATGGACATGCATTTATATTTATGTTTGAATGAACTACTTGCAAGATGGGACACAAAGTGCATTGCTTGATTGGCCAAAAAGGTTTGAAATAATCATGGGGATTTGTAGAGGTCTCATATATCTTCATCAAGATTCGAGGTTGAGAATCATCCATAGAGATTTAAAGACAAGTAATATATTATTAGATGAAGATTTAAATCCGAAAATATCAGATTTTGGATTGGCAAAGATTGTCAATGGCAAAGAAGTGGAATCTAATACAAAAAGAGTTATTGGAACCTAGTAAGTATTTTGTACATCTATTAGAATATAAAAAATGATCGTAAAATTTATGCATATTTAACAATTATGGCATTAGGTAAATATTTGACAATTATTATTTGTTATTGATGCAGTGGTTATATGGCTCCGGAATATGCATTAGAAGGGTTATTTTCAATCAAATCTGATGTTTATAGTTTTGGAGTAGTTGTTCTTGAGATTATCAGTGGGAAAAAGAAACATTATCAATGCGATCAAGCCATTAGTCTTCTCAATTATGTGAGTACAATATCTCATCAAACCGATGCTTCATTTAATCTTCTTTTGCTTTTGAAAAGAAAGGCTACCAACTTGCTTCTTTTGATCTTCTTTGCTTTTGAAAAGAAAGCCCACCAACTTCATTTGTCTATCAACTACACCAATACTTATGCCAAAAAAATTACAAAATTCAAATATATTTTTTTGAGACAGTAAACAATGACAGTAACTTTGAATTTGACTGACATCAACATGACAAAAACCGCAATGTTTGTCCTAATCAAAAGGATGATGGAACAATGTGCATGGCACATGGACTTCCTCTTGATTCCTCATCTGTGCAAAGTACGCAAATGTCATCATCTTCATCATCGAAAATAGTTTTATAAAAAATTTTCTAGTCCAATCTAGTTTCTTTTTGGTCATGCATGTACCCTATATCACAAACACGGCCTACATACACGATTGTATTGTGTATGAGCATCGGTCTTTCTAACGTTTTTTTTTAAATATATGATCTTGTTTAATGTGATCAGGCTTGGCATTTGTGGAAGGAAGGTAGTCCGTTGGATCTAATGGAACGAGTCTTAACAGAAAGTTACAACGCAGATGAAGTACTAAAATGCCTATTAATTGGGCTTTTATGTGTGCAAGAAGATCCTGATGATCGTCCTACGATGTCCAATGTAGTAACTATGCTCACTAGCGACATTGCTACACTTCCTGAACCAAAACAACCGGCATTTTTAGTAAGAAAACTAACTTCGTCTTCTTATACTAATTCTTCTTCTTATCAACCCCATACACAGACCAACGTGGACGTGACAATCTCCGTAATACAAGGACGATAAGTATGGTGATTAAGTTGTCAGTGTTTTTATGTTATTATTCCTTATATGAACTAATACATGTAAAGTTTACTTTTCTTGAAAATACGAAGATTTGTTCTCATTTTTTATGAAATTCATAAATTAATGTGTGTGGATATGGTAGAATGAACAATTTTACATTGTAAATGGATAAAGATGAATAGTGGTATCTCCTTATATGAAACACATTCATTTCTTATGGATAAATCCCTTTCCATGATATTATTTTCTCTTTGATATGAGAAATTCATTCATAGAAAATAGGTGATAAAACGGATGTTGTGTTGTATTTATACATAGAAAATAGAGATAATAAATATATTGATTTGAAAAACTGAATCCGTTGGTTTTAGCATTCTTGATTAGAGTAAAGAAGTATGATATATTGACAAACAATTGGTTGGTATGTATAGGTGGCCAAATGGGCAGGTGTGACGGGTCAAATGATGAGTCACACTATGACGGGTCAAACAATGAGTCATAGTGTGACGGGTCAAACGATGAGTCATAGTGTGACGGGTCAAACAATGAGTCATAGCAGGTAATTCAAAATAGTCGTAATTGAAAGTGTAAATCAACAACGGTGTCAATAATTTGGATATTGGGAGTATAAATATAGTTGAAATCAAATTAAATATTTTCTCAAAGTTCTTTAATGTATAAAGTTGTACCTCCTTAAATATAATATAAATAAAAATTATAATTGAATCCAACAAGTTTTGTTTGTTGAAAACGACTGATTATATAGTTGTCAAAAATTTATAGAAACACATATTTCTCAATAATAATGAACAAAAAGTAGTTTAATCTGTTTTTAGTCCGACGATATTTTATATGATAAGTCTAATTTTAATTGACAAACGATGTGGTATATTTATGTTACTTTGAAGATCATAACATTGCTTTCTTTTAGATAGGAGATGTAGAAAAAAAAATTACTTTATAATGATATAAAAACATCCATATTCTAATAAAAAAATATTAAATGCATCGTATTTTACATGATATTGCAATAAAAGCTAAAATCAAAAATTAGATAAAAATTAAAAGCTTTGTGTATCAGAAGTTATAATAGAAAAATATATTCAATTATAACAATATATTGATGAAAATCTACATATTACTTTGTTTCTACTTCTTTTAATCGCTAAAAAATATCTTGAGACATTATTTTAATAAAATCCAATAAACTTAAAAAGGAATAAAATGTATTAGGATTATGTGATTATTTTCATGGTATTTAATTTGTTAATATATTTGCATTTGAAATGATTTAAAACTAATTTCATTTGAAAACTAAGTGTATTTGGTGTATAATATTTACAAAGAAATTGAATTCCATTGTTTTTAAGATTTTGATCGACTTATAATTGGTTTTAAAAATATTTATGTTGATTTTGACTGAATTATAATTGGTTTTAAAATTATTTATGTTGAATGACACAGTTATCCATCTATTTCTCTTATAAAGATTATGATCATAAAATAAAAATAAACAATAATAAAAATATTATATTATATTTTTATTAATTAGTTATCTAGAATTTTTTTACAAAAAAACTACAAATTAAATTAATATGTTATCAATATAACTTATGGATGCACTTTATTAAATCAAAAAATAAAAAATATTGTAGAACATTAAAAAAACAATAATAATGATATTAAAACATATTACATGACACGAACTAAACAAAAAAGAATTACAAGAGCAAGAGATTTATATAATGCAACGAAAATAGTTTTTTCATACCTAAGTATTTATAAAAAAAATTCAAACCCAACTAAGCAGTTTATAGAATTTTAATTTCAAATCCTTTTAAATTCATCCAAGCATCAAACGTCAAATCGAACAACCCAAAATTGTTTTAAATAAACAATTTTGATTCCAAAGATCATGTCGCACCAACATATTTCATCATTGAAATCTTTCTTTTACACATCAAACTACAATTTACTTTTTCATTTTCAAATACTCTATATAACAAAAAAACAAAAAGAAAAGAAAATATGAGCAACAAAGAAATGGAAGAACATGTTATTATATAAGCAAATCAATGTATTTAATCATTCAACTATGTTGAAGAAGTTAAGAGTTATGTAATTACAAATAAATATGGTTAAAGACAATTAAGTAGAAAAACTTGAAAATGTTAGGAGTTTCAAATCAATATAGTTGAAAATAAAACAAATATTTGAACCATATTGATTTGAATAGCCTCATTTATTAGATTTATAAAGATTAATTAAAATAAATAAAAGAAAGAGGTAAAATATATTAAAAAGGGTTAACAAAAACATTTTTTATTTATATGGTTCAAAGATCAAACCCTCAAGAAAATTGTAACTACATAGACCATCCATGTCAAAGAAATAGATAAGAACCATTGTAAATATGTATCTTTATTGTATTGATTCGTTCGACATTTATGTTTTTTTATATCTCTATATTTACAATGATCTCGTTTGTATATATTGTTATGTTATTTGTTATATATCCTAGTTGTTATTGGTATTCCATTGTCGGCTTTTCATTTGTTTACGTGACCAAGTGGTTAATATTTCGATTGGTGTATTTTCCATTCTTTACAATATTGTGTATGGCATCCTTGATCAATGTTGTTTTAATGCATTATGTAGAGTTGTATTTCTTTCTTTGATGTAACAAACAAACAAAATTTAGAATGATCAAGAGTTAGGCATTCAACAACCAAGAATGTAATGTTAACACACCATGGAGATTATTGTGTATTAAGATTCATTAAGATTCACATGTGATCATAAATAGGCTAATAAGCATAACATATTGATTCGCTATAACATAAGTTGTTTTTTACCATTCAATATCTCATTTAAGAGATCAAAACAACATTTTTATACTTTTAATTTAGGGAAGAAAAAAATCTGATAGAATTCAATTCGAATTGAAAGTGTAATTGGTTTGATCTTAAAAGTCAAAGGGTTGCTCCTTTTGGAAATTTGGCTATGAATACACAGAACTAATAAAAAATCTCTGAATTCTATCAGAAAAATGACCCAAAACTAGAATTTCAATACAGTTCATTACTAGGACATGATATCTGAAACTTAATTGATGAGGATCGAGCCATTGATAATCTGTAATGGAGCATTTTACAGTGATCTAGAAAGCGAATAAGGTTAATCAAGTAGAAATTTAGTTTGTAGAGGAAAAGATACATACAGATCCGATAAGCATAACTCGTTTTCTGGAGATAAAGCAAACACTGACAAGTTCTACTAAACCCTAAGGTTCTTTCTGGAAGAAACTGTCGATCCGACGAGTGCCAACAGGAACAGGGTTATTATCACTCCTTTTATGAGGTCGATCAGGTTTCGATGACGTCTGAGCCGCCGCCGGTGGCGGCGGCAGTGGAAGTGAATCAAGAAGGAAATCAGCGGTCGGCTGGTGTCTCTTAACGGCGATTCGAAGGTGCTCCAGCTTTATTGTCTTCCTTTTCTTCTCAACTGCAACCTCCGATGATTTCTCGGCCAAGAACTTGACGAAAAGCTCGGTGGCGTTTGAGATTAGGAATAGGGCATCGGCGTTGATTTTGTTGATATCTTTGTCGAGTTTCATAATACGCTTCACTCTGCCGGTTGGTATACTAGATTGGACGGTTTCTGTGTGAATCTCTTCACCTTCCGCCATTGATAACTGTAAATCTGTAGATTGAAACAGGAGTTTTGGGTTACAGAATTTGGGGGAAGAAATTGTTTGGTTATTTAGGGTTTTGATTTTGGCGGGAAGACGAAATGATTTGGGCGCGGATTAAAGGTCACGAAAAAGAGAACTTATCGAGAACTCTAATATATGAGTAAAATGCATAATTAGCTCGGGTTCAAAGAAAATATAGCAAAGTCCCTTTAGTTTCTTGGGAAAATGACTCTTGAGGGTGATTAACTTTGCGTTTGTACTCATTTGGTCTCTTTTCTTTTTTTGTATTCAATATACCATCGAACTTGTTGTTTGTGTTCATCATAACCCTTTTAACCGGCTTTTGACATGTGATAGTCGGTCAAAGGGTTATGGTGAACACAAACAACAAGTTTGATGGTATATTGAGTACAAAAAAAAAGGAAAGGGACCAAATGAGAACAAACTCAACAGTTGGTTACCCTCCTGAGTCATTTTCCCCGAAAAGTAAAATCAAATTAAAGTTGCAAAATTATCAAAGACTGCAACCTTCTTTGGCTATAATGTATATGAAGAGTTTTTCAGAGAGGTAACTTTGTTGAAGCATGGTTTATGCTATGTTTACTGTGGTTAGCTGTCAACACCTCTTTGCAAAAGGATATGACTGTGTATGAGAGGTATATTTATCAGCATAAACGTTTACCTCAAGGTATATTATGGTGATGTGTCTACAAAAGCAACATGATATTATACATATTAATGTTGTATCTTATCCCATGAATTCGATCTTAAAGCTAAGTAAACTCAAAAATCACAGCACTTGTGATTCTACTCGTTTGTAGACTTGTCTAGAATCCATGATACGATAAATCATTTGATTGGAAATGTAAATGTAGTCATGAAATGCGCCTGCTTAGTCAATATTCCCCTAATAAATATTCAAGTGCATTACAAAGTTGTACATGTATGAATAATGTTCTTTCGTGGGTTATGTTTTGAAGAGAAGCAAGAATGAATCTCATAAATTCATTAATATCAGTAGGAGATGACGTGAGATTTGTTGTAAATGAGTAAATGGAAAATGAATCAGGAGGGTAACCAACTGTTGCATTTGTTCTAATTTGGTCCCTTTCGTTTTTATTGTACTCAATATACCATCGAACTTGTTGTTTGTGTTCACAATAACCCTTTGACCGGCTATCACAGGTCAAAAGCCGATCAAAAGGGTTATGGTGAACACAAACAACAAGTTCGATGGTATATTGAATACAAAAAAAAAGGAAAGGGACCAAATGAATACAATCACAAAAGTTAATTACCCTCAAAAGTCATTTTCCCTAGTTTCATTGTTATTTTAAAGATAGCCCTAACTAAAATCCAACTTTTTTTGTAAACTCAGGTCCCGTTTGATAGTTCTTGACTAAGAAAGTGCTAACTTTGAGCTTAGTAATCTTGACTAAGTAAGAAATCATGTTGTTTGATTGTACATCTGACTGAATATGCTGACCGATGAAAAATAATTATTTTACCTTGTTGGTCTCTATACAGTGATTGATAAAGTTGTTGAAGAGGTATAAAAACATACATGTTTAAGAACAAATTTGATTCAACATTTAGAACAAAACATACATATAATATTTTTGTTCCCAAAATACCCCTGCTCATTAAATGCCATAAAAAACAAAACAAATCAACAATACACCGATTAGCAATCCAAGACCATTGATTGAACAATTTTCTCTTGATGTAGATATTTCAAATTGGATTCAGATTTTCAGAAGCCATCGGTTTGTAATCCAATATCAAGTTCATAAGGCAAGATTATGAAACTATGATGCAAGATTTCTTCGCAGGCGGATGAAAATGGTGACAGGGACAAACTCATAACAAAATTCAAGATTTCTGCAAAAAAGAGATAGAAACTTGTTCAAAATTTAAAAAAATATAATTAATTCCGCACAACTTTTTTTCTAAATAATCTAATAGTGTTGAAACATATTATCAATAATTACACCAAGTTCAAACCCCACAAGAGGAAAACACACAGAAACATATAATAAGTGCATAGTGATTGCTCCAAGTTTAAACTCTAACACAGGAAAGGAACACAATAAAATTCTTCTTAATGGCTTCACATTTTGATTAAAAACATGTAGCAGATTCGTAAAACTTAATTTCAAAGACTTTCCTTTCAGTTTTTGACAACTATCTTGCCATCCAACTTGTTTTAAAAATAACAGCAACACCATTTGGACCATTCAATTAGGTAAAAAACTACATAACATCATTAGCAACGAGCACAACAACAACAACCAAAAAAAATCTCAGCAAAATACAAAATCGAAAAACTCACAGTAAGGGGGCAAGGGTAAGTTGCGTCTATTTTTCAGGTCAGCTTCTTTTTGTAGCTGATCGAATCAGATAATTCTTACGGAGTCAGATGCCCAAAATAAGATTAGCAAACAACTTTTTTTGAGCGACTCAGCTAAAAATGTCTGACCCTATTGAGTCAGACGCATATCAAACGGGCTCTCAATAAATATGTTATGTAGTACGAGTTTATGTTTATTTATGTTTGTTTATAGTTGTTTATATTGGATTATGTTTGTTTATGTTGTCATAGTTGACTCAATCAGTTTGAGGCTCTAAACGAGCCAAAAGTTCTAGGCCATTTTTCATTAGTATACTTAATGTTATAAATTAAACCCTCCTCCTTTTCAAAATCCAACTTTGACATAATGAATATCAAAAAAAAATAATCCCCATTAACCCTTATAGCTAATCTAATTGAACAAAAAAATCAGTCAAGACTATTCTGCAATCTACATCAAAGTTCAAAAAACAGATTTCTTCCTTCTTTCGTGCAGAAAAAAAAACAGATTTCTACATGACTACATCAAACTGATTTCTATTTTCTACATCAAACAAAACTTTATCAAAATAACAAAATTTATCGATTATCATAAATAATAGATTATCAGATTATCACAAATTCACAATCATAGATAATCAGTTATGGTGAAATAGAGAATCAGAGGAAGAACCGAAGAAGAACAATAGATCATACCTTTTTAGAATTCAGCCTTTCAAGTTTCAAGATTCATGACAATAATCAATCAACTTATCAAAAATCACCAGGAAGAATATTAGAAGAAGAAGAATAGAGAATCAGAGAAGTAATGGTTTTTATGGTTATGAGTAGAATCAATAATGAAATCACTAATTAGTTAATTAGATTCGGAGGACAGAGAAAGAAGAAGAAGTGAAGAATAGTTGTTCAGTCACGGAATTTGCAGTTCTAACTAATTGGTTAATTAGATTTAAAGGACAGAAAAAGAAGAAGATGTGAAGAAGTGAAGAACAGTTGTTGAGTCACAGTTTCTACCGAATGGTTTCTGCTGATTTGCATGAATGAAGAATCCGAATAAACAACCCCCTAATTTAATTTTGGGTTAAAGGGGCTCTTAGAATTAGGGCCCTAAGCAAGGGCTTATTTTTATTATAGTAAGGTCGTCTTGTGTGTTGGTTATGTTTGTGAGTATTCTTATTTTCTTAACAATTTTCAAACACCATAGTATTGTTCTTATACGTGTATGTATGTTTGTTCTTAATTTGAATGTTTATGTTCATTTATGTTGTTCGTTTATGATTATTCTTGTATGATATTATAATTGTTTATGTTTGTTTAGCATCTTAACAACAAACACAAACAAAAAAAAAACCTTTAATTTTGTGTTCGTGTTCGTTTGGTTAACTTAAACGAACGAACATAAACAAACAATTTTATTTATGTTCGTTTGGTTCGTTTACAATCAGTGACGGATATATATATATATATATATATATATATATATATATATATATATATATATATATATATTGTCAAGGTGTGTCACTTGAACCACCTAAAATTACAAGTAATATATAAAACTTATTTGTGACCTACCTAAAACTATATGAGTAAGCTATCTTAATTTGTTTGGTGAAAATTTAATATGAACCAAGACTTTTAAAACCCACATTTTATATATCAATCACCCAAATACTTAATTATCCATTAAGAAATAACCCAATATAATTTTTGAGTGCTCGTTTACTATTATATATTGAAAAAATAAGTGATTAATTTTTTAATGATAGTTTGGAGTCATATATTGAGAATTATGTTTCATATAGTAGTATTAGTAATGATACAACTATAAAATATTTTAATATATCAGACATGGTCGGATACAATCGTAAGAACTTTATTTATTTTAATTTTTTTTTGCTTAACGACCCGACCCGCTAGTAGTATTTTTTTATAAGTATTTATACTTTTATATAGCAATTTCATTTAAATAGTGAAATACATAGGTTTATGTTATAAACTTGTCAGTTTACAGTCCTATTGTCGTGCAAACTTGTTTACTTAACAAATGTTGAAATCTCATACCTAAACTTTTTTATCTAACGTTGAATTTGTGTCTAGGTAGCGAGTTTGATGTTTAGACATTGTAGAAGCTTTGTGTTATACATGATTGAAACAATAGCCGAGTTGAAAAGAACTCGAACCAAACCTTAAATGTTTTATTTTTATGTTAAGTTTTTATGTAGTGTAAGTTTTTGCCAAGTCTACATTTAATTTCTTTATTCTTTCAACTAGGTATGAGACCCATTTATTACATGAGTTTATTTAAAAAAAAACTAAATACAAAATTCTAAACATTTGAAAAGTTTGAATTTATAAGAAAAATGAGAAAAATATTGAATTATAAAAATTAAAGTGTTTTTTTGCTCTAAATTTAAACAAATAATTTAGATAAATAAATAAAGAAAATTAACGAAGTTTTAATTTAGTAATTTTGAAATTAAAAGGAAATTTAATTAAGAAAATTAATATGCATTTATTATTGCATTTAAATACTATCTGAAATTTAATAAAATAGAAAACCATAAAATGACATTTGGAATAAAAATTAATTTAAAATAACCACAAAATGACATTTAGCAAGTTGAATGAGAGTATGACAAGT